ACACACACACGACCACCAATGACTAAATTTTACAAACATAGTATGCATGTACGTACATAACCACCCTCAAAATATTATTAAAATTTTACATTTTATCATTTTACGAAGCTTGTAATTGTAATTTGGGATAAAATTAATTTACACAATTAAATCACAATGACGAGATTGCCCTTAAATCCAAAAAATTATACTCATGACCAAGGGTATTTATGATTTTTGCTTTACTTTTTATTTTTGAAGTAACTTAGTGATTGTTTAGAAAAAAATATTAAAAAATTATTAAAAATCCTTATGTTTTTTGAACAATATGCAGAGAACAATCTAGTTATTAAAATAAGTCATTCACAATAACATTTGAAGCGAAACATCATTTTTTTCGTGTTAACGAGACACATGTATATAAATATGGTTGAGCTCTAATAATTTTTTCTTTTCTTTTCAGCCTAAAAATTCAAGTCATCTCCTTTTGATTTTGACCTCAAATTTCTCTTTTTATTAAAATACATTTTATTTTATTTTATTTTTTATATTTAATTTAATTGTCATTTTCTTAATTTTTTTGTTTTATATTTTATTGATTTTTTTTCAATTTTGTTCCTCATCATTTTACTTCATTTAAATTTTTTTTATCTAATTTTAATCTGCATTCTTTTTATTACTATTTTGTTTTTCTCCTCAACATTTTTTTTTACCAATTTAATTCAATTTTAGTTCTTATTCTTTTGATTACTATTCTCGTATTCTTTTTCTTGATTTGTTTCTAATTTTATCCTAAAATATTTTATTTAATTTAATTTTTTATCTAATTTTTGCCCTTATTCTTTTGATTTCTATTTTCTTACTCTTTCCTTGATTTGTTTTTTTACGTAGTCCCTGATTATTTTTTTCATTTAGTTTTTATATCATATTTGGTCCTCATTGTTTTAATTATTTTTTGTTTTTTTTAATGATTGGATGGTTTACTTCATGATTATTTTATGTTTTTCTTTTTACAATGTAATTTCGATCTCATGACCCAAATCACTAGTTTGGAATATTGGTCCAGTTTAGTCTTTTCTTTATTATAAGTTTGATCTTTTTTATTTTTAAGTTCTTTATTAAAATAAAAATTAATTTCATCATCCAATATTATATTGTTAGTAGGTCTTAAACTTTGTTAGTTGTTCCACTTTTCTTTTTTATTGAGATTATTCTAATCATATAGGTGGTTGGTTAAGCAAGTTTAATCGGGTTTACTTAGGGTTTTTTTTTCTTAATTTTTTTTTTATGAAATTGATTTCCTTTGCAGTTTTATCTTTTCAAATTAAATTATTGATTCTTAAACTTTATGATTTTTCTTTTGTTCTTTATATTGGGTTATCTTGAGTATATGTTAGTCAAGTTAGCTCAATTTTTTTCAGCTTTCTTTTAATTTAACTTAGGTCTTTTTTTATATATAATCTCTTTATATCTCAATCCCATTTAACTCGTGTTTTTTTCCTTAAAGTAATTTTTTAAAAAATAATTTTTTTCCAATTTTATCCTTTGATACTAGATTTTTAGGCCTTGAGCTTCGTGATTTTTTTTTTATTTTCTTTTCTGTGAAGTTATCTTGATCTATATTCCGAGTTATATGTTATTTAAGTTAACTTGAGTTGACTCAAATTATCATCACTTAAACACATTTTTTTGCATTAGAAAAAATTTAACTTAACCTATAGTGTAAAATGCTAGTTATAATCTAACCTGAGCAAAATAGAATAAAATCAATAAAATAATAATAATAATAAAATAAATAAATAAGTATTTGATAAGGACATAATTAAACAAAAAAAAAGTGATAAGGCATTAATCTATTGAGCAGGAAATGATAAGGGCAAATTGAGAAAAAGGCTAAACAAAAGGGATCAATGAGCAAAATTTAAAAATTACACTATATAAATATCTAATTTTTCTTCTCTTCGCCGACAACTAGAAACCATAAGAGAGGTAGAGAATTTGTGTGAATTCTCCACTTATTTTCTTGTTAAGTGCATAAAAAAAGTGCAAATAGATTTATTAAAACTAGTTAAACAATTAAAGGAGGTGAATTAGTGTTTGGAAGTTATTTTGATGAAAGAGTTTTAAAGCTAGAGTTAAAGGAAAAGAAAAGGATAAGAGAATTTGAATATGTCTTGTATCCATCTCTTGAATTCTTATTCAAGTAAGTTAAAGAATATATTCAAAGTGATTAATTGTTATAATTATATGTTTTAATAAAGAAATTAAATAGACATGATTATATGAAATTAGGGATTTAGGATATTAATTGACACGATAAAAAAATTAATATCTTCTCCTAAGTGTAGGAGTGTCAAAGTAATAAACAACATGACAAGATTAGGCTCGAACCACATGGAGGTTAACTATATAAATTATAAAGAACAACAACAACAATAATTGTAATAGTAGTAGTAGTAGTAGTAGTAAGTTGAAGAGGACTTTGAGATTATAAGATTAATGTGAGGATTAAATAATTGTCAAGGTTAGAGGATCCACTAACGGTATTTTAAACAAGTATAATATGAACTCTTATTACTCAACTAAAAACCACACTCAAAAGAGGTTCTAATTAGATTATCAATTGTTAATATGACTATATTAGTTATATTATTCGAGTAATGCTAATACTTGTAAATGTTGTCAGGTATTCATGATTATAACTTATATTAACTATAAATCAAGTTTTTTTCACAATACAAGTGTATTTTATACCATACAGTTTGTGCTATGAAAATACCAAGCATTTGTTGTACCAAGGTTACACAACATAAATCTAGATTAACCATTTAATAAACAACGTATAAAGATTTAACAAGATAGCAAATACAAAACATGTTAGTATGAAACATTAAAGTCGATGTTGAATTTACACTATATTTATTCTTACACTATTAGTGTAACATTTTCACCTTGATATAATAAATTTAACTAAACATAATAAAAGAAAAGAAACATAAATAAACAAGATAATAACATAAATAAGATATAAGTTAACTAAATAAAGGAAAGGAAATGAAAATATAAATAAGAGATTAATAAAAACAAAATATAAACATTACAAAAATATAAAGAGAGAAAGCAAGAGCATGATCTTGATTTGGAAACCAAGATGTCTAAATGCATTACAAATGCTTCCTTTTATAGGCCAAAATTAGAAACTATTAATTTGATGACTAATTGATGAGTAGATGGTCACATTTTCACTTGGTGACAATTCTTATTTTATTATCTAAATAAAGCATTATTGATAACGTCAGAATTTGAATCGGACTTACACATGAAAGTTCTAGAAATTGTTTTAGCTTTTCAGAAAAAAAAATTATGGTTATTTGGACTCTAAAACTCAAGATATGGGTTGAAAACTGAACAATGTTTAGGCTGCAGGATATATTTGGACTTCTACATTGTTGCTAAGATTTGGACTTCCAAACAGCAGAATTGAGTCTTGACTTCATGAAAGTTAGGGCTATGTCTTAGCTTTCCATCCACATAAAGTAGACCTAAATATGAGATCTATAGCTCTAGATATGATTAAATTACCAAGTAGTATTCAAGTTTAGACTACACCAACATCTCTTTTCTAAGTTTGGCCATTTTTTTGTCCTTTCAATTTCAATACTTCAACTCATTAATCAGTCCTTTTATTTATATGATAAGCTTGCATTTAGGATGTACATTTACCATAAATAAAAGGTACCTTATGGTAACATACTTATTATTATAAAACATGCTTTATTTAAGGAGTTATTAATACTTCAAGTGCAAAATGATGATATAAAACCTTGATAAAAATATATTTTTAATTAATCACACTTCTCAACCAGCTTATTACTAGTTTCTAGTAATCAAAGTGTTAAAAAAAAATAATTTGCAAATTCTACAAAGTAAGTTATTCATCATTCAACTTCTATTAATCTATTCAGATAAAAAATTCTCATTAAATTTATATATATGCTCAATACCTCTTAAAAAAGATATTAATAAACCTTTCTTTTGTACTCAATATATCAACACATAGTTATGAGGCTTTACTTGGAAGAAAATAAAATTTTTATTCTAATATTTAAGATTAACTTTCTTAGGTTGATATTATTATCCTTTTCTTCTCTTTTTTTTTTATTAATATACATCTAACTTAAAAACACAATGTATCTTTAACCCATGTAACGAGCTTTCAGCTAATGACTCCCAAACCAGTTGGTCTTAGGACATTAAGTGTTGAGACACCCCTTTGAGCATAATAACTCGGGTTGTAGATATTGATACATAGATAGTGTAATGTTTGATTCCCTTAAGCTTTTCTCCTCAACCCATATAACAAGCATTGAGCCAATAGCTTCTAAGTCAATTGACTTTAGAGTATTAGGTGTTAAAACACCCTTTCGGGCTTAATTGTTTAGGTTAGGGAGGCTACAAAACCAAACTTATCTACGTTTTTATTATCATTATTTTTTTTGGTTTTTTTATGCAGTTTATATACTATCCTTTTTTCTTAGTTATTACCTGTAATAAAAGAACATTATAATACAATAATCCAATGTGCAACCTACAACCATATGTTAAAGTGTGTGTGTGTGAACATGAAGGTTTAAGAATACTTGTTAAATGAGTATATGAGCAGAATTAAGTGATAACAATATGAGAGTTTGTAAACCTGAACATTTTAAGATGTATTCTAATAGACCTTGTTAAGAATGTTTACTAAGATGTGTCTCAAGAGTCATTTTAACAAAAGAACTCCTTTACTCTACCATCCTAGTAATAATAGTTTTACAAATGATTTATGAAATAGAAAACACAGTTAGTTAATTTTTTTTGAATAATATCAAATACTACTCTTTTCTCCTAACCAAAACGAGACATTGTCCTCAATGTCCTA